CTCCCCGCCTGAGGCTCCCCGTGCGCTAGGGGCCCACCCTCAGGAAGCCAGCAGGCAGGAAGCTAGCCAGCCGGAAGACTGGCGCTCCCCGGAACCTGGGCCTTCTTGCGGGTTCTCTCCGCAGCCATGAGCGCTTGGTTGCCTCCGTAAGCCTTGAACTTATGCCTGCGGTGGTAGACTGATACATGTTTTATTATAAATTGCTTTTTGCATCTCCTGTATATCAGCTTTAGGGAACTCCTAAATGGGTCTTTTAAAGTCACTGTTCGCCGAGTAGGTTGTCTGGGACTTGCCTTTATGACAGTAGATGTTGCTCACAAAGTGTTAGTTATGAAAAGGGAGGACCGGGTCTTACTGGCAGGGGCGAGAGCTGTGGTCTTCCTTAAGGATGAAGGCAAGGCAGGAAGTGGGGCCAAGCAGGCGGGAGGCGGCCTGACTGCTGGGCACTCCTGCCTGCCCTTGGCAAACGCCGGCTGTGGCTCCATCCCGACTTCCCCTCCCTCTTCCTCTGCATGTGACTGCTGGGGAGTCTCACAGTGCACAGCGGGGCCGCTGCAGATTCGTCCTCTCCCCGTGACTGAGCCCTCAGCTGTGGAGCAAACCGTCCATCAGGTGTCCCCCGTCGGCTCTCACTGCCTACAGCTGTGACCCCACGCGCCCCTCTCACTGTCAGTGCGTGGCTGTGCTTTCCTGCCTCACGGGGAGAATGGAACGTGGGGGTGAAAGCCAGCTTCTTGTCTTCCACCTGCCGACCTCATTTAACTTTTCCTCCCTGCAGGCCCCGGCTCAGTGCAGTCACACTGCGGGCGAGGCGTTCAGCGTGTGAGTTTGGGACCCACTTCACGCAGGCCGAGCCATTTCCCTGAGACCCAGCCCGGGGCTCTGCAGCTCCTTCCTGCCCCCGGTCTGATCCCCAAGCCGACCATTTGTCTTGTGTGATCGTAGTCTGGCCTTTCCCATCTTCCCCCCACTTCAGGGGTTGGAAAAGTAACTCATTTACTCATTGTATTCTTTGGATACACGTTATGTGCTAGGGATGTGGCTAGAGAAGGTTAATACAAGACTAAGAAAAGTAGGAAGAAGTGATAAAGATAAATGCAGAAATTGGCAGAATCAAGATTATAAATCCAAGATTTTTTGATACAGTGAAAAACAATCCCTGTCAAACCTAAGAAAAGACAAATGAGGATTTTTTTTTAAACAGTTGGTCAGTTCGAAACTCATACTGGCCATATTCTGCAGAGATAACAGTTTATTCATGAGATAAGGCTAATTAAGAAATGAAACGTAAAAACCAGGGACAATGTACCTCTACCAAGGCTCTGCGTTCGTGCTCACTGGGTAATTTTTGTGACCAAATGATTCAGTGATTCATCATAAGGTAACCAGGGTTTTCTTGTTTTTTGGGAAGAAAGGTATTAGGCACCAAGAGGCCTGCCCGGTGGGTCTGGGAGGGGAGTGGGTCTGCTGTCTTCAGGGTGCCCCCTCCCCGTCAGAGCCCCTTCTCCACTCACGGGTGCTCTGTGGTGCAGGCGGGTCTATGGTGAAGCTCTGGCTCCCTCAGAACTGCCTCAGGGAGCCCGCTGGTTCAGACAGTGGAGGAGCCTCCCTTTCCTGAATAGCCAGACGGCCCTGGCTGGGCTGTGGCTCAGCGGTCTTCATGCAGACCCCAGCTTCACCCACCTGAGTGCCGCAGGCTTGCTCCCGTCCTGTGCTACCTGCTGCTGTCCTTGTTACCAACACTGGGAAAATAAAGACATCCAGAAAGGACAGAACAGAGCTAAGAAGAGCAGAGGAAGCTGCTTTCTACTCTGCAAAGCTGTCTGGGCCAGCGCCAGGACACTGTCCACCTCCAACAGCTGCTGTGTCCAGCGCCCTCTGTGAGGTGTGTAGTACAGCGGTGACAAGGCCGGGTGTCTGCTCTTGGGCGTCCCTGCAAGATGCTGCTCACTCCGGCTCGCTTGACATCCATAGATGCTGTGACAGCGTCGTCACTCAGACTTTCTTTCAGCAGTCGCTCCCAGATTCCCCATTCCAGCCTTGGAGCTGGGCCTTCTCCACCTTCACCTCCCGTTCTCCTACAGGCCACGTCCTCTCTAGCAACCGGCTTCGCCCTCACCATGACATGGTTCGGCCACTAGTGCCTGAGCCTACTTTAGATTCGCAGCTCCCAGGGGACCATTTCCCAGGGCCGCCACTTGCCTCTCCTCTCCGTTAGATCACACGCAGGAAGCAGAACCTCTCTTCAGCCAGCGGTCACTTTGTCTCAATGCTAGCCCTGGGGAGTTGGCTGCCAAACCTGTGCCTTGCTGAAGCTTCTCTTGGGGACGGTGTCGCCTACCATGCAGCCTGGAAGCCTCTGGTTTCTCAGCCTTGGCGTTTATGCCATCCTGGAGAGAAATCAAAAAGAGGGGTGATTTGCTATTGTGCAAAGAAACGAGAACAGTCTTTGCAAGACAGCATAGTCAGGCTATCAGCTGAATTCTTCAGGGAAAACATCAGCTGCTGGGCAGCAGGACTGGGCCATTTCCATTCCATCACAGAATGTCACAGAGCAGCAAAGGCAAAGCAGGGGAGCTTCATGTCCGTCAGGAGTCCCCAGGCCCTAAGGCTTCGGAGGATCATATAGAGCAAAGGTGTAGCCAGTTCCGGTGTCACCCTTCCCTGCTTGACAAGTCACTGAATCATACCTCACCTGCGTGTGGTAACGGCTCCTGCACAGCCTGTGATTCCGCAGCCCTGTCCTTGCCTGAGGGCCAACCACAATCTTTGCCCCAAACCCAGCCCTAATCTCAGTCTTTTATTTTCCCCAGCTTTAGTCCTCAGCCCCAACCCCCCACCTTCTCTGTGCAGCAGTGGGATCTGCAGACTGTGTTTTCACGGCACCCATGGTGACATGCAGTCTCTAACGCCATCTGAAATTCACCGCCTGCCATAAATGTGTTTCAGAAAGCACAGGTGAGTGCATGGGGTTTACCCTGTGATCCAGAAACCCCAGGAGGACTTCTGGCCTCCAGCTCGAAACCTTTCGTTGTCAGCCCATCCTCCAAGGCTGTGTTCCAATCGCCATCCTTCCGGGAGATTTCCCCCTCCACGGTGAGCCTCCAAAGAAATGTTTCCCGTGTGTAACGCATCCTGAGAAATGTTCAGAGTGGAAGGGCTCTGTGCTCCTCAGCCTTAGTCCAGTCACGTCGTGGCGAGTCTAAAGGGCTGGATGTGAATGACTTCAAGTAAAGTACGAACCACCCTGAGCAAAGGCCTCCAACAAGAACGGTCCCCCAAGACCTTAAGTCATCTGACTTTAAAAAATCGGCCTAAATGAGCTGCAGTTGGAACTGGTGAGCAGGGAGCTAGCCAGACTCGAGCCTTCCCACTGGCACATCCCTTGCACCCTATAACTTGACAGATAACCCAGACCATATGTGCATGGGGGGGATTGACCGGGGGCCTCCTGCCAGGACATGCAGCGTCCCAGGGGAAAAACAAAGATGAGCATGGAGCAGAATGGGGGCAGCAGCTCTGGGCCCCTCTGCAGGTCTTATGCAAGTGCCTGAGTTTCTCTTCAGGGAGTGTCATCCCCCCACACACTCAGGAGAGCCTGGGGGAGGATGACATGACGGGCTGCGGGTGTCCCAGTGCAGAAGGAAGAGCTGCCACCCCCCAGACAGGACATGAGAGGAGACACTTGGGAGCGAGCTCTCCTCCACCCTGTCACTCAAGAGGCAGCCTCCTCCTGGAACGCTTTGGGAAGAGGATGAATCACTTTTGCCAGTGGCTTTGTCTTAGTTCAAGGTGCAGAGGCGAAGAAGGCCACCTGGAAAGGGCAGCTCCCCATCGTCACCTGTGCGGAGCAGGATTGGCCTCTCCTGGGAGTACTGAAGGCCAGGAGTTCGGCAGACTGTGCTGGTCCCAGAGGAGAAACTTGGACTTAGGCAGAGTAGTGTTGCACGGTCCCCAGGAGCCCCTTCCACCCGCTAAGCAGTCTGGGAAAACAGCCCAAGGCAGAAATGCAGGTGTAGGTGGAGCCAGTCCTGTGACATCCCTTCACCTACAAGGGTCGTTGCTCTAAAGGGAGAAGTAACAAGTGCTGCTGCCAAAAATCTGCCTCTTTTTTTTTGAGACCGGGTCTCACCATGCAGCTCACGATGACCTTGAGCTCACTATGTAGCCTAGGCTGGCCTCAGATTCATTGTGCTCCTCCTGCCTCAGCCTCCCCAGTGCTGGGATTACAGGCATGTGCCACATGCCTGGCCCAAAAATCTGCCTTTGATGGGCCAAATTATTCTACACGTCTAAGATGGGTCAGAACCAGGAACAGATAGCCCCAGGATGTTGCTTTTCAGGACAACCTACTATACAGAGACATCTTCCTTCCATGTTTCGCAGAGAGCCTGTACCCCATCCAAGACCCACCTGTGGGTGGGAAGTAGACCAGGCGCCTCTGGCTGCCCCCACCTTTGCCAAGACACTGTGTGAAGTGATTTTCCTAATTAATTAATTAACTCTTTTTTTTTTTTTTTTGAGTCAAGGTCCCACTATGTAGCTCAGGCTGCCTTGAACTCACTATATAGCCTAGTTTGGCCCCAAACTTAAGGCGACCCTCCTGCCTCAGCCTCCTGAGTACTGGGATTATAGATGTGCACCACCATGCCCAACCATTTTCCAACTTTTTAGACTGAAAATGCTCCTCCAGAATTTCCAAGATCAATAGTTTCTTCCTCCAAAATAGCGTATCCTTTTTGAAAATGATTGCTCCCAATAAATGTTCTAATAAAGAAAAACAAATGGAAAACTAAAAAAAGTTTTCGTTGAGCTCTATTAGCAAAATCCAACAGATAAATTCTTTCTCTTAACCTTATGAACATAGATGAAAATAATTCTATAAAATTAGACATAGAAGGGTCACATGAACTAGGCACATAACCCTAAACTAAGAAGAATGCCTCCTCACCATGATAGCCATGCCAGTGTATTTAAGTCCAGGGACCATATGGTGATTTCAGTAAAAACACCATGGCCTTCCCACTCAAGTGGCTGGTGTGACATGTTCCTGACGTTCAGAATGTTCTAGGCCTGGCCAGTGAGGACAGCTGATGGCTCTGGTGAGAAGAGCCTCCTCCCACAGAGGACCACCGACATCTGTGCCTCTGCCTTGCACACATGTGTTCCCTGCCTGGGCCTCCCCAGCTCTGTCTGCCTGGCGCTCACGACAAAGCCCTCCTGTGCCCTCGCTCTGTCTGGGAAGCCACACCTTGTTCTGTTCACGCCTATTACCCTGCACAGCCTCCCCTGGCTGAACACTGTCCCTGCAGAGTGTGGCCTTGGCCTGTCTGCGGGGCTTGGTGAGGCCCTCTGTGGACCAGGTCCCATGTCTCCCAGGAACTGTGGCAGCCCATTTGCACCAGGGTGGCTTCTGAGGCTGCAAGAGCTCTGGGATTTAGATTCCTAGTTGACAGATATCAGGGCTTCCACTAGTTATTCCCAGAAACACCCTGTCATTGCCGGAAGGTATTTACTATAGTCTTAGCTCTCCATGGGTGGGTCTGGGCCAATTTAGGACTCGTCTGGCAGATAGCTGTCATGTGGGCACTTACTATTAAGAAGGCACAGGTTAGACACGTCCTGGGAGCTCACTGGATCCTCACAACTCTGCAGTGTAAGAAGTGTGGATTGGCTGGGTGTGGTGGTGTATGCCTGTAATCCCAGCATCTGGGAGGATGAGGCAGGAGGGTTCATGCATGTTTAAAAGCCTGGGCTACATAGTGGCAGGGGGCGGAGGGGGGAGCATGCCTAAGCTGAACCTTTCTGTCTTACTGAAGGGGAAAAATTAAAATTTTAAAAAGCCTGCCCTGGATGCCTGCCGAGGCCAAGCAGACATGTCCAGCAGGCCTGATTACAGAACACTTCTCCCTTTGTGTAAACCCCTGTCTTGGCTGCCTTTGTGACTGATGACCTTGCAATGTAACTTCAGATATCATGGGACACTTCTTCCCTTGTATAACTTGTGCCTGTTTAACTAATGGCCTTGTATTGTAACTTGAAATATGTAAACCCCCTTAATAACCCACGATGTCACCCAACCCTCCAATCATATGTGCCAAGTCTGCCTATGTACCTCCCTGCTCACTTTTCCTTTAAAAGCCCTCAAACCCCGCCAGGTGGGGCTCTGACAGTTTGGGAGAGATCCTGATCAGAACCCCACTGATGGAGCCGGGCGTGGTGGCGCATGCCTGTAATCCCAGCACTTGGGAGGCTGAGGCAGGAGGATCGTTTTGAGTTCGAGACCAGCCTGGGCTACAAAGTGAGCTCAAGGCCGGCCTGAACTGCATAGCGAGACCCTGTCTCAAAAAGACAAAGAAAAAAAAAAAAGAACCCCACTGATGTAATAAACTACCTCCTAAACCTTCACGGTGCCATTTCTTCCCATGTTTGGCCTGTTTTCTGCAATGTTTCTTGGTTTCCTGACCGGGAAGACCAGGCTGACCACTTAGGTCACCAGCTGAGGCCTGGTGACCGAAGCAGGGATGTCTCTTGGCTCCCTGACAGGGATGGTGCACCCTACAGCCTCTCTTGGAGTCCCCTCCTGAGGCCAGGACCGGAGGCCCCTGCTTGGCACTAATGGCTCATGTCCAACCCAAAGAGGGGGAAAGGACACAGTCAGGTAGGTCTTCAGATAAGGTAAGACCCTGGGGCACCCCAGTCAGTCAGTCGGCCTGTTCAGTTCGAGCGGAGGGAGAGCCTGATTGCCTCTTGTCAGTCTGTTAGTTTAGACCAGCCATGAGGGAGTGGAAATGGGAATGTTTAACCTCTGGGTGCCTGTTGAGTGCTTGTGTGAGTAATTGCAATGGACGGTGAAAACAGTAGGCTGTTCCGTCTGTGCTCCATGGCAAACGGTCCCTCTGAGACCTCAGAGCTATGGAGCTTGACTGGGTCAGATTTCTGCAGTTCTGTAGTTGCATCTAACAGGCTAAAAGGTGACTCAACCTCTGTAATGGGGGTCTGACTCAGTACCTTCTTGTACTGGGTACTGACCTGGTATGGGGATATATGTATGTGTCTACTGCCCGGACGGACCTGTGTCCCTGCGAGGGGAGTGGCCAGAGCCAATGAATGTTTGGTTTCTCATTTGAGAAATCACCATTTAAGGATACACCACCCACACCATAGGAGATAGAATGGGTACTAGCCAGAGTAAACCCACAATCTTAGATTGTATGCTGAAAAACTTCAAAAGAGGATTCCCTGATAACCACACAGTAAAAATTAAACCTCAAAGGCTCCAGGCCTTCTGTGAGATTGACTGGCCAAAGCTGTGCCCTGATTGGCTCCCTGAAGGAAGTCTCAGTGTCAAGACTGTCCAGCAAGTCTGGAATGGTGTGACACACCCTGAGACGGGCTGCCCTCACCAGTTCCCTTATATTGATTCCTGGCTCAACCTGTGTCAGAGCCTGCTGCCTTGGTGCCTGCTCTATGCGTGACAAAAGGACTATTCTGGTTGCCAAAACATACCCGAGACCACCAGGAGCCCTCTGAGACCTGTCCCAAGCTGGAGAAGCTTTATCCAATCCTACCTGAAGATCCCAAGTCTGATCTGCCACCTCCTTACAATTGTGGGTCCCCACTGGCTTTGGCACCCCCAGCGCTGGCCCAGGTGCCAGTGCTGCAGCCCCCGGGGGAGGGCCCCACTCTTCCAGACTCTGAGTTATGTCAGCCAGTGCTGCTGCAGCAGCCGGTGCCACTCCCACAGTCACTGAGGCTGGGGCCACCACGATCACAACCGGAACTGTCCCTGATGCCATACCTCCACAAAGTGCAACTCATGGCCTCCACCCATTTTCACCTGATCCAGATGCACCCTCTAGTGGTCCCTCAGCTCTATTGGTTATTCCTGATTCCCCTGGACTTACGCTGCCTACCCAAGCCTCTGTCCCGGAATCTCTCCCGTTGTCTGGAGGCCTGCATCTGCCACCCTTCCCATCTACTGCCCAGCCTATGCAGCCTCCGGCCCTCCTGGAGCCCCCAGCCGCTATTCCAGACACCACATCTCCCATGGCTACAACGACCGCAGCACTTTCTGAACCCCAGACTGGTTGCTTATCAGGTGCTGCCAACATGGACAGAAACACTGACAGCCCTATCAGCCATCGCCTCTGTTCTACCACTCAGCTCAAACCTCCAGTTCATCTCTAGCTGCTGCTTTGTGTCTATCCCAGAGCCCAGGGAGGCACACCCAACCAACCACCTGCCATTTAGCTCAACTGACCTCCTGAGTTGGAAGCACCACAACCCACCTTAGAGAAGCCCCAAGCAATGACTGACCTTCTTACATCCATCTTCCAGACCCACCTGCCAACATGGGATGACTGTCAGGAGCTCCTTTTGGCCCTGTTCAATACTGAAGACCATCTTTGCATTCCAGATGGGGCCCAAGCCTGGCTGAAATCCAAAGTCCTTGCTGCTGTGGTTGATCCTGATGCTTGGGTGACTACTGCCTTCCCCTTAGCATGTCCAAACTGGGACTGCAATATGACACAGGGCCATGAGGCCCTGGATCAATATTGCACTGCTCTTCTTTCTTCAGCACTTGTTCTTTCAGTATGCCTCTGACATTAGGAGAAAAATCCAAAAGGTTGATGGATTTGCTGGCATGAATGCCACCCAGTTACTTCAGATTGCTCAAAAGGTGTTTGTAAGCTGAGAGAGAGAAGAAAAGAAGGAGCAATAGCACGAGGCAGACTGCAGAACCCAGTAGAAAGCTATTCCGGCTGCAATGCTGGGAAAGCCTATTCCTGAAGTACGTCACCAAGGCCAGTCCTATTGCAGCAACTGATGCAAGGGGGCCCCTCAAGCCTCTCAGCCAAAATTGGTGGCAGACCTTATGTCCTGGCAGCTGACCAATGTCCTTGCTGCAGACAATTTGGACACTGGAAAGATAAATGCCGCCTCCGTCTGTGGGACACAAAGAAACGTGATTGTCTGGGGCTGCCCCAGCCTGAGCCTCTTCTCTCTCTCTCTTTGATGACAATGAATAGGACAGACTGGGCTCCACTACACTGGGCCCCTGGGAGCCCACAGTCATTGCCAGAATTAGGGCGGAAACCTATGACTTTTAAGTGGAGCTGAACAT